AATTCGTCACGGTGAAGTTGGGGTCGTTGAGCTCCTCGGTGCGTCCCAAGAACTCCATGAAGCGCTTGAGCTTCATCTGGTATCTTTGTTTGCTCGATCCTTTTGCGGTGTGATTTGTGTGATATTGAATAGGAATGATTGGGCAGTTTCATCACACTTTGAATCACACTTCAGCAGAGAGATTTTGCATTTTGTCCCTACACTACCTCTACACTTTCATGCGACAAAATCGGAGTGTACAGGTAGTGTAGAAACCAACCATATTTTTGATTTTGCAAGTTTAACCTTACACTATTCCGGATAATGCTACAACGGATCACATGAACCACACCACTTTCAATTGAATGGCAATCCCACAGAAAGACCTGCTTGTGCTTGGGCAGCTCGCAAAAACCGACGACCGCCAGCGGCGCTTTGTGGCTGCACTAATTGCCTCGCAAATTGCGGAACGGCCGCTTGTTCAACATTGCAACCATGACGGACGCAAACGCCATCCTCAATTTCCGCTTTGACGTGCAGGGAATCCAACGCCTTGCGTACCTCCTTGGTCTACCCGCTGTAGTCATAACAACAACCCGTAACCTCGTGCTAAGAGACGAAGCTTTCTGCATTCTGTTGTCACGTTCGGCTTTCCCGTCGCGCTTCTTTGACATGGCTGAAACGTTTCCATCAAATCCAACTGGATTAAACTCTTCATTAGAGTTGACGGCATATGCGACCTCGTTCCACATAATCATCACTGTTCCTCGCTTGGCTTTGAACGGGAGCTTTGCTTTGACCTCCCGCAAGAGCAGAACGTCATCTGCATCCGTGAATCGCAGTTTGCCCTTGGATGACAAGGGCCAGGTTTCGAATTAGGTGTAGTGGCAAACACCCCTACAGTGAGTGGTTTTCAGGGACTTTACCCCTGGATTTCATAAATTCCCGTGAGGTTTACAATCAAGTTTGACGGAACGACTCGGGTTCTGTCCATCATGCGTTTTTCTACCGAAGTTTACGACTCAATGTTGAAGTGGTACTTCACATTTCGACCTCTTTAATCAATTGGTTGATGCCTCCCGACATATATATCCTTTCAAACCTTATATTTTCATATTTTGCTGGCGCGAGTTTTGAATGCAAGAATTTGAACGCACCAGGTTTCAAATCTTGAAATTTCAACGATTTAAATTTCATTCTTCGTTATGCCTCGACCGTCGCAGCGCAAGCAGAAGGA